ATAACAGGTAGGGTGTTCAAATTAATCCGTTATCATTAATCGTAGCCATTAATCGATGAACCGTTACATTTTATAGGTTAATTAACCGAACCGTTAAGGTTTAATGGTTTTAGTTAACCGGACCTTTAAAAATATTGGTTAATGGTTACAGTTAATAAATTTTAATAAATGGTTAAGCATCGGTTAACCGTTAATAAATTATAATTAATATTATTTTTTATAGAATAGAATTAGAAATAAAATCAAAATGATTCCTCCTATTTTTGAGTTATCATGTTTATTTTATAGGAGTACATTAAATCAAACATATATGAAAGAAATACACGATTTTAAATTATAAAATATAAATATACACGTAAGATTTTAAACTGTAAAAAATGAATATACCATAATATATATTCTATAAAACAAAATACATATAAATAAGATTTTTACAAACATGTATGTTTCTATTGTCGTAAATTTTATGAAATTTTAAATTTTTTAAGTTGTATTATGTTTGAAAAATATTGTAATAGGTTAACCATAGGTTACCCTATAATTGAACTGTTAATAACGGTTAACCGTTAGCGGTTAACAATTTCTTAATGGTTAGGTTATGATAACAAAATTTTAAAACCGTTATAACAGTTAACCGACTGTTTAGACTTAACGATATAGTTAACCGCCCATGAACACCCTTAATAACACGTATCGATTTAGTCATAGAATTGATTAAACTCAAGCTTTGAAACCACTAAATATAACACTCTAAATTTGGTCTAATTGTAAAATCAGATTGATGATGTTACATTGACTAATCATGACAATAACATTGTTAACCCTAATTCAATTACTGAATAATCAATCACGTGAATATTTAGTAATTTAGAAAGTCAAATCATAAACTTTATAAAACTTTGGGGTCTGCTTGTACAATTTAAACCTTTTAAGTGGTTGGTATCAATACTTGTTTATATGATACTAGTACTATAGGACGAGTATTGATACTCTTTAATTAAGAGGGACATTAAGCCTTAATATAATATCAGTATCATTTTATAGTATCAATACTTTTCTCTTAAATAGAAAGCATAATGACAAAATTATTCTCTAACGTTTGAACAAATGGTCACTTTGCCCTATATTTTTTAAAAAAAAAATTTACGCTCAACATTTCAATTTTTAGACAAAATAAGCATTGTTAGATGAAAATTGTTAGTTAACTAACGGTCAACCCATATTGTTGATGTGGCCTTTTCCCAAGATTGTATAACAATGAAATAATATTTAATATACGCACATGCGTGATATAAAAATGTATGACATCTTTAGTAATGATTGGTATGCATATGAAATTACAAAATATATTGATTTATTAATTCAACTATATCAATTCGATTAATATATTTTTATGTCTATATGTTACATGTATATATTATGTATAGTATATGCTTTTTGAATATTTTATAATTTATTATTTTATAGCTTGTGATATATTTTTTTATTTTTGAATAGTTATTTTAGTATTTTTAATATAAATGTATTAATTTTTAATAATTAACTTTTTATTCTTAATATTTTTAAAGTTATTTTTTGAATTTTTTGAATATTTTAGTTAAAGTTTCATATATATATATATATTATAAAAATTAAATAAGTCATTGAACTTTAAAAAATTAATCTAACCCTCGAAACGACTAAAAAACCAATTTAACCCAATTGTTACGTCATCAGTCGCTTTGAACCCCCACATTAGTACCCTAAACTAACACGTTAGCATCATAACGGTCAACAATGAAAATTATTGGTCAAAGGATCACATTAGATATTTTTTTTTTAGTTTGAGGGTCACATTAAGTAAAAAAATAGTTAAAGTATGCATTGATTTTTCGGAAAAGTTTGAGGACCTCATTTACCATTAAACCAAAGAATTATTATTAACCGTGCTTATTAAGAGCAGAGAAAAGATCCATAATGCGGCTGGGCTGGGATGCTCACCGTTAAATTTAACCTTCAATAACGCATTAGCCCAATATATTTTAAAGCCCTAGGGTTTTCCTCTATCTTCTCCCAAGTAAAGATCAAAGCTTCATCGCCATGGTTAGGGGTGAGCAAAACTCAATTTGGCTCGAAAAATCAATTTTTTCGACTTGAATTTACTTAAAAAAAACTCGACTCGAATTGATTTCGAGTTTTAATTTCATAAATTCGACTAGAAAAAATTTCAAGTTCAAATCGAGTTGTAAAATACAACTCTCTAATAACTCTAGTTTTTTGTAATTAGCAGATTAATTTTAAAATTTGAGTCAAGTCCCTCAACTTTGTGTTGTATATGTAAATCACATATGAAAAAAATAAAAAAAATAAATGTATTGTATATGATTATAAAATATTATTTAAATTGGAATAGAAGACGATGTCATAATATTGTAAATATTTACGATTAAATTTAAATAGAAATTTGAAAATTTGACTCGACTTGAATTTTATAAACTCTAGACTTGAAAAAATTTCAAGTCAACTTCGAGTTATAAAACATGACTCATCAACTCGAATAACTCAAATTTTTTTGACTCGACTCGAGTCGACTCTATCGAACGCTCACCCCTAGCCATGGTTAGTTCATTTCGACTTGTCTCCTTTTCTTTGGAAGAACTCATTTCAGTGGTTATTTTTTTCCCTCGAAATTTCTTATCTAATTCTCCGTTTTAGCCGCAAGGAGATTACATTGAGCTTTCCAGAAAGAGGCATGGTTATCGCCATGACTTCTTCGAGAAGAAGCGCTAGAAGGAAGCTCGTCAAGTTCACGAGCGTTTCGCAAGAAGTCGACATGGTTCTTTTCCATATTGATGTTTCTCAAAATCTTTAATTTTCTTCACTGAATTGGTACATACTTAGTTGTCAACATTTCTTTTACTGTGATATATGATAGTTAAGTCACATCTATGGATGATGGGAATCGTCGAGCATTAAGTTCCCCCTTTGCAAGTTTCCTATAAGACTAATTCGAACATGTAAGATATAGTATGTAGCAAAAAAACCCTATTGTTTCCAGTGTCTTGATTACGGAGTAATGAAATGTAACTTCTCTTGAGACATGAATTTATCGTTTTATGATGTGCTAAAGCTTTTGTATTGGGTCTATACATTTTTTTTAAGAAGTGATTATAGCTTTAATCATTTCTTTTCATTCTTTACTAATTATGCTAACTAGAAACTGATTTTGCATCATATCAACAAATTGGCCATGCATGAAGAACCATCAACTAGACGGAAGGTTGATGATGAAGTGCAAGATGGAGCTATTCCTGCCTATCTTATGGATATGGACAACACCACAAGTGCAAAGGTATTCTGATAGATGACATTAATACATTCTTCGATTCATATGACATTAAGTTTAGTGTATATTTTTCTGTTTAGGTTCTAAGCAACACCATAAAACAAAAAGGAAAAGAAAAGCTGGAAAATGGGAGGGCCCTATATACCCAAGGTAAAAAGATGTTTTTCTTATTACGTTTTAATATGTTCTCTCTCTCTCTCTATATATAATATATATATTGTTTTAATAGGATATAACGTATAATTTTTCTTGCTAATAAATTTGTTCGACTTCTAACTTTTGTCCTCTAGGTAAGGCCTGTTGCGGGGATGAGATGCTTAAGGTGATCAGATCTAGTAAACGGAAAAGTAAGTATATATATAATTAGCTTCTTCCTATTATGCGAACCATTAATTAAAAATCAAAATCTTTCTGTTAGCTCTTTCGATCAATCGAAGTATGTCAAGAGGGGTGAAATTGCTTTTTAAAATTTTGATGCGGAAGTAACCGAAAAATAAAACCTTGCACAACGATTTTAGAGTTGTTCGACTTCTAAACCAAGTCTACACCCAATACCTTAGCATCCACATTAAGGATTTTTAAAATCCGTTAGATTTACTAACTTTTGAGGACGATGTAACCTTACAACAACACACAATTTTATACACCAAAACTTGCTTACACTCTCTCCACAAAAAGAATTACAAATAAAGAAAAAAAATCTCACAAAGTCAAATGTGGAGAGGTGTAACAAGATTTTGGGTATAAATTGTATGTTGTTATAAAGTTACACCCTTGTCCTTAAGGTTAGAAAATCCAGTGGATTTGAGAATTATTATTGTGATTGTTAATATAGTGAATGTAGACTGTTTAAAAGTCGATCACTCTAAAATCGTTGTGTAAAGTTTTTTTCCAATTGTTTCCACATCAAAATCTTAAAATGTCAATTTACCCCTTGACATACTTTGATTGATAGAAAGAGCTAAAAATTTGTGTATAGAGTTTGGTTGCACTAGCTAAAAGAACAATTTTGTTTCTAGAGAATCTCTGGTTCATCTGGTTTAATTTCTTCCTGATTTTCTTCTCTTTCAGCAAAACAATTGAAGAGGATGGTCACAAAGTGCACATTTGTAGGACCTGGTTTTACTAGAAGACCTCCCAAATATGAGCGCTTTATCCGCCCATCAGGATTGCGATTCACCAAAGCTCATGTTACAAACTCTGAACTGAATTGCACATTCAACCTTGATATCATGGAGTGAAGAAAAATCCCAATGGCCCTATGTATACCTCCCTTGGTGTTATGACCAAAGAACTTTCTCTTCTTTCCAGTTTCATTCAGTGTCAGACTTAGATTAGATTAGATCTATGTTTAAAATCCAAAATTTGTTTTCTATGTTTATAAAATCTGGGTATATCATTTCCCTTGCATCCAAGTTTTTGCCATGTGGGGATTGTATTAAGGTGAGCAAAACTCGTTCACTTGACAACTATTTTTTATTCGATCTACCATAAATGTTTGTAGTAGTTATGACCAAAGGAACTTTCTCTCTTCTTTCCAGTTTCATTTCAGTGTCAGACTTAGATTTAGATTTAGATTCTATGTTTAAAATCCAAAATTTTGTTTTCTATGTTTATAAAATCTGGGTTATATCATTTCCCTTGCATCCAAGTTTTTGCCATGTGGGTGATTGTATTAAGGTGAGCAAAACTCGTTCACTTGACTAACTATTTTTTTATTCGATCTACCATAAATGTTTGTAGTAACAAGGCGTAATGGAGTTGATAACACAGCTGCAAGAGGGCCACCTATGATCGATATTGCTTGTCCACTGTGCCCGATGGTTGATGGATCCAAAATGAGCAGCCCGATTTTGCAGTAGATTGCAAGATCCTTACAGATGTTCTTGAAAACATTATAGCAACCAAATCCGTTTTCGAGCAAGTATTTTGCTCGATGAACCACTAAATCATCCGGACCGGAGACTACGAGAGTGCAAGTCCCACCTCGTGCTTTTGCAAAGAAGAAAGCAGGGCTGACTGCATACCGGAAACAATACAAAATGCCACCAGCAAGGAAGCAGTTCAAGCATGAGGAAACAACACCACTACATTCTTCCAGCGGAGTGCAAGTAGGGCAATGCAGTTGAGATCGATCTGGCCCCGAACTTGCAAGGAGGATATCCAGAACAGTTCCCGTACCAACTTCAACGAATGACTATCGTTTCCAACATAGATGCCTGCTCTCACACAGAAGTATAAAGGTACAACTAGTAGAACAATTCCAGCACATAACTCTTCGAGAGATAATCTGAATAAAAACAACATATGCAAAGTTCTGAGTTCATGCATGTATCATTCTAAAGCTCCAGCCTAGGATACGAATTAGCCGGTTAGGGATGGATCGAAGGAGTACCGAGGGTGCAATCTGCAAATTTTAAATCCCCATATAGTTTATGTATTTTTTGTATTTTATTGATGATTGAATTTTTCATTCCCGAGTATGAAATTGGAAGTCATTTGGTGTACTGAAGTTCATTTTGAGTAAAAATAGGAAGAACAAGACATGCTTTTGGTGAAAGTATGAGAAGATACTGCAGAGATTGTTGGTATTGTAGCAACACTAGTACTATTCAATTCATGCTTTTAGTTCCGCCATTATTTGTAATGCGTTTTAAGTTAGTCTTTGATTAAAAGTAGCAAGTGAAATTAATAATTTTAGTCTTAAAACTTTTACGAGTAATAGAAGACAATTTTAATTTGGGTAAAGTATAGTAATGGTCACTGAACATTTCTGAAGCTTGCATTTAGGTTCTCTAACTTTTAAAATTTGTAATACAGTCCCCCAACATTAATCCATTACAATATGGTCCCTGCACCTATGAAATTAGGATAATTATATAAATGATCACTGAACTTTTAGGTACTTGATTTAGGTCCCCCAACTTTTAAAACTTACAAAACAATCCTCAATTTCATTCTAAACACAAATTCCAAAGTAATTCAATTTCATTATAAACCCTAAATTCCAAAATAATTCAATTACATTCTAAAACCCAAATTCTAAAATACTTCAATTTCTGTCTTTTTTAAATGACGCCAATGTCACAAATTATTAATTAATTTACTTTTTATATTTAAAAACATATGATATTTTTTAATATTATTTAAAGACAATAAAATTTTTCAATAGTAGAATATATGATAATAATCATTATTTAAAAATAAATATATTCTGATTATTTGTGTATGTTTTTATATCTAATCATCATGTTAATATATTTTATATCTTCATAAATATTAAGACTACATAAATAGCAGAGTAAAAATTATATATGAGTTATGTTAATTATAGTAATGATGTAAATATATTTTTTTTATGTTATTCTATTATAATTAAATATAAATATTACCATGATAATTAAATATTTATTTACTTATTACTCGAATATTTTTTGTAGAAAAAATATTTATAAATCATAAAAAACACAATAAAAAATAAACACTGAAGTTGACTACTTCAAAATAAAATAAAAAATCAATAATTTAATATAATATATCCTAAGTTGATGATAACAACTCACTCAAAGAGATGGGTTTGTGCCATGTTTCGTACATAACGTAAACTTTCTATTTCATGGTCACGTATTCTTTTAGTTCTAGCACGATCTATTTTTTAATTTTCTAATACACTTAACAAAATTATATTATAACTCGTTAAGTGATTTCATAGGTAAAAAAATATTATTTTCTTTAAAAGTTTTAAATTCAAACAATTGTGTTTGTAGGGTATATCTATATTATTAATAAATTAAAAAAAAATTGAATAAATACAATCTTATAATCACATCGAACTATTAAAAACTGAATTATAATTGAATAAATAAAAAATTATAAGGATGTCAATTGGGGATTTTAATTCTTAATTTTTTCATTGAGAGATTGTGTTTTTTTATTCAATTTCTTCCATAATCATTTTTTATATTTAAATTATTGAAGGTCACTAAATTTACATTTACGAGGAGGGAGTGTATTTTTTCTTCTTCACAAAAGTAAAAAAATAAAAACGCTATCGCGTTCTTAAAGATAATCTAGTATATTCATCCTTAAATTGAAATATTTTAGAATTTGAGTTTTAGAATGTAATTGAATTATTTTGGAATTTAGGGTTATGAAATTGAATTATTTTAGAATTTGGGGTTTAGAATGAAATTGAGGAATGTTTGTAAGTTTAAAAGTTAGGGACCTAAATTCAAGTGCCTGAAAGTTCAGTACCATTTATATAATTTACCCTAATTTTCATAGGTGCGGACCATATTGCAAATGGATATTAAATGTTGGGGGACTGTATTGCAAGTTTTAAAAGTTGAGGGACCTAAATGCAAGCTTCAGAAATGTTCAGTGACCATTACTATACTTTACCCTTTTAATTTTTAAATGAAGCTGGAAATTTTAAGTTTCAAATCAAGTACTAAAATTATTTTAAGTTTTATAATTAGTCCCATCTTATTTTTGAATTGGTGTCCAAATTGACTTTATGTTATTTGAAAAATCAGTCTACTACCTAAGAGCATATTTAATTTCATAGTAATTCTGAAAATTATTTGATTTGACCCATTTTAAAATATATATTTGACTTTTCAATCTAGTCCCTAATTTTTTTTTTGCAATTCACGAAGATTTACAAATCCGTTTTAGTTGAATCATTTTGTAGTCCTTCGTAAAATGGTTTTGAACTTAAAAGCGAGGTTGTTCACTTGTTCTAAGATTTAATTGTTTATTGAAATTTTGATACCAAATGATTATTTACCTTTATATGATAAAATATTTGTTTTTAGTAGGTAAAATATCGCTATGTAATAATATTTGTTCTTTTTTTAGTATTTATTCGAGTCGCTTTGATAATTATATGACCTTTAAATTTAAGTCACGTCATTTCAATTGAGTTTGAGATATCATAATAAAATAAGATTTTATTTGTTCTTTTTATGGTACTAGTTTCCCAGTTGGAGACAGACGGATTTTGACTTCGATCTTATTCTCGAAGTTCGACACCAATTACGAAATGACTTCAATTATTAGGTACACACACTCAATAATTTGGGTGCATCATCGTCTTTGATGCCAAGGCATTCTTATGTAGTTAGCTTCGAGTTTGACTTGAATCTGTCACCAACACAACATTCAACGTACAATCCATACAGTATGGGTGTGGTTGTCTCATCTTCTCAAAATGATATGGGGTTAGTCCGTGATTGACGCACTCCTGCTACACTTGATAACTTTTCATTCAATGACACATAACTATTCTGATTTAAGGGGGATCATTCTGACAAAGAACCAATAAGGAGTCTGGTCTCAATGGTGATGAGTAGGCCTCTTCTAGAAGAGCCAGATGAGCTTGACATGAAAGTGAGAGGAGGATGATGTCCATGACAACAAAGAACACGCTGTAACTATCAACGTTCCACATGCTGCCACGCCTATTTCTTAATATCAGCCACCATCCCACTTCACAACTATTAATATGAAATCTTTTAACGCTCTAGAATTTTCGCAATTCCCATAGATTGAGCAATACAACCAACGTGGTGATGGTGAAATTTATGTACGCCATTTAGTTAAGACGACTATGAAAAGAACAGTAGCGGACAAGTACATTTTTGAATGTGTCCACAAGAAGCAGGGATGTAATTGGAGGATTCGTGTATCATGGTTGAAGACGATGAACAACCTTTAGAAGTTTACAAAATACGTCCAACCTTATACATGCCCCGTCAACAGCCTCAATTAGGATAATCATAACTTGGATGTGCATGTGCTTTGTGACGCATTCATTCCACTGCTTAAAGTAAATCCACGTATAATAGTTGCGACTTGTATTGCTGCAATTACATCTCAATATGACTACACAGTTGGCTACCATAAAGCATGGTATGCAAAGTATCAAGCCCATCAAAAATGATGAAGAAACACATATCAGGAACGGTTCTAAAATTGGAAACTGTATCGGTGTACAAAAATGATCGTGTCGTACAAGGTATGTTCCAATTCTACCAGTTATTTTAAACATTTTTGTAGAGCGTTAATGCATTCTACAACTGTAAGCCGATGGTTGAAATCGACGATACTTAGTTGTACGATAGATACACATAAATAATGTTATTGGTGGTTTCACAAGACGATAATAGAAAAATTATTAACATTGCCTTCACAATAGTCGAAAATGAAGATATATACTTTTAGGAATTCTTCCTTAAGAACTTACGAAGACATATTGTTCTATCACATGTTATGCGTGATAGAGATAATGAGATATGTCTTATTTCTGACAGAGGCTTATGGATCAAATATGCAATCCAACGTATGGATCGGTCTTGGTAACCTCCTTAAATTTATCACCGGTACTGTTTACGCTACATTGTTACAATTTATTTACAAAAGTTCAAGAGTAAAGATGAATGTATAATGATGCTTCGAATAGGTACATCTTTCACGATTTTGGGTTTAAGATATCTTTTCATTTATTATTTCTAACTAATTGTTCCATTTTTAATTGAGGGGCCACACACATTTCATATAATGAGGTTGAGGAGCTGCTTCAAAATATGAGAGACATGAATTAGAAGACTATAACTACTTTGCTAAAATCTTGAGAGAAAAATGACTTTGATCATTTAATATGGTCACATAACAACAAACTTTACTGAGGCGATCAATTCATCACTGAAGGGAATGCGTCATTTTACTATCACTTCCGTTGTTAACGCGACATATTATCGATTGACAATATTTTTTTGCAACATTGGAAAAGCAAGCAATTGACTGGATGACAGGTGGCCACAAAGTCCACTCAAACCTCCTCAAAAAATTATAAACATTTGTGCAGTATTCAAATGCAATTAATGCGACATGCTTCTTTTGCGAAGGCTAAACAATCTGTGTTTCGGGTTTGAGGCCATTGGAAGGCTTAGAGCACAACACATACGTGGTTAATCTATGACAATGAACCTACGAGTGTGGAGTCTTCCAAACATTCAAATATCCGTGTGCGCACGCCATTGTTGCTTCTTCTTCTTTACGGATTCGCTACATGGCATACTTTTATCGGTATACTTACTTGAAACCGTATTCAAGGTTTATCAATACGAGTTTCCTCCAATTGTAAATGAATGAGATCTGGATGAAGTTGATAAGGATTTGGGTGAACATCGAGAAAGAACCGGACAACCGAAACTATGTTCTATCTGTAGGAATCCTGGACACATGAAGAACAAATTTCCTAATCGGCCAGGCTGTCGTATCGATTAATTGCGTTTTTTCATTGTATTACTACTTTTTTATTTAACAAAATATATTCGTTTGTTTTTAATTTCTTTTGGTTTCAAACCATTTTACCCCACTTATAATTTCTCGTATGTACCGGTATTTGCCTCAACTGAATGATAAGTTCCAATATTACACCTTTAATCTTATAAATTATTAAATTTCTTCTATTAACTTCTCGGAAATACCACTTGAATGTGACTATCAAGTTTTTTACCCTGCATTGATGGTAACAACTATAATGACTCTCAACAACTCCAAACGACAGAGATGGTATAAATTGAAGGTTAAAGAATTTCAAGGTCAACAAGAATCAAATTGAACAAGTATATCAACATCAAATAAGTTTTTTGTACTTAATTTTTTTTATATTCTTTGTAACATACTTGTGAGCTACATTGTTTAATTTGCTCAAGTGTTGTCACAACCGAAAATTCTTGAGCTTTATTAAGTATTAATTTAGTTAGTTTTAAGGGAAAATTTCTTAGATTATAAATATTTCAGGATAATTCTTGAATATTCAAAAAGTTCAGGGACCCAACCTTGTATTTTCCCATTTTTATTATGTATAAAAAAAAATTTAATGAAATTAGGGACCAAATTACAAAATTTCAGGACTTGTAGACCATTTTAGCACCTGTAGGTAGTTCAGGGACCTAACCCCAAATTTCTATTTTTTCTATCGGCAGGAAAAAATAGAAAAAATGGATTAGGTCCTGCAAGGGATTGGAACCCTTATCCCTGGGTTAAGGTCGCCCATGCCCTAGTTGTTTAGGCTAGGGTACTGTTGGTGATATTTTTATTAAATATATAATATATATGTAACACCTCCGACTCGTACCCGACCCAGATACGACTCTGAGATGTCACATTGACTTTCCAACTCTTTGACTCTTTGAAAATTTGACTAAAATTTAACTTTTATTAGACAAATGAAAATATTTTTAAAAAATATATCAAAGCTGTTGGTGATATTTTTATTAAATTATATAATATATATGCAACACCTCCGACTCGTACCTGACACAGATACGACTCTGAGGTATCACATTGACTTTCCAACTCTTTGACTCTTTGAAAATTTGACTAAAATTTAACTTTTATTAGACAAATGAAAATATTTTTACAAAACATATCAGAGCATCTACATTTTAAAACATTTTTAGAACATGCCGACAATATTTCAAATAATAAAAATATATACAATTCAAATTTTACTGATCTGACAGTCTTCACCGGTATGTTGTCCTGCCCCTTGCTTATTCGACTTAATTCTCGAATCTCTTTGAACTTACGTGTGAAAAAATCACACACTAAGTCTATAATTTAGTGAGACATAACGAGTATATTAAAGCAATAACATTTATGTTATTTTCAAAATAACATTAAGTACAAAAACACTATACTCTTTCTAATTTATAACATATATTATTAAACATTGATTACTTTATATCTATTTGACACTTGATTCTACATTTCCTTAAAAATATCTCATATAAAATCAATAAACACTTCATTAACATTATAATATTGTTACTCATTTTTCAATTTTTTATCAAGTTTGTATTATTAGTCCAACGTATATTGCTGAGAACTCAAGGTATGTGAGTACATTGAGGTTGTGCACTAATGCAGTCACCACTACTCACATAATTTACACCGAAGTGCCACATATTTGTCCCGAAGGACCACATAGGTTTGTCCTGAAGGACCACATAGATTTGTCCCGAATGACTACATAGAACCCTCGACTCTTGGCATGCCAACTAAACCCCTAATTCTCATAAAATATACTTTGAGCTTATTCAATATAATTAGGTCACTTTTATTATTCAAGAGGTATTTTATTCATATAGATCACATTTCGCGTATAATAATTCCACATAAACTAAGGTCTCTTAGCACATATTCATATAGAACATCTCACGTAGAACATTTACTCATAGCATTTACCATAGCACTATTCAAATTATCATTTATTCACATAAAATATATATTCATAGGTCATATACTTATAACATTTCATGTAACATTATTCAAATTATAATATAAAAATAGTTTGGGTAATTCGTACCCAAAAATTTTAACAAAATCATTTAATAAATCAATATATAAAAATATGTTTTATAACATAATACAAATCATTTATTCAAAAACATTTGAGGTTGGCTTATCGCAAGCTGCCCTCCAATCTTATATAAAATAAGTAAGTTGCACTCCCTTTTTGCCTCACTTAGAGGTACACAAAAAATACGAATATCCGATTTTGCGCAAAAAATATCCGAAACTGGATTTGGGAAAAAACCGGTTTTTTTTAAACCGGATCAGATATTTAAAAACCGAATAGTATAACCGGTTTGGGAAAAAATTGGACGATCGGTTTTTTTACCGAATTAAAAATCGGATAAAAAACCGGTTTTTATCCAAAAAAATCCGGTCTGGGGTTTTAAAAACTAGCCGTTAATATAGCCGTTGGGGGGATTTTTGTGACCATTTTTTCTAAAACAAATCACCATTTTACCACCCTAAACATGTATAAATAGGTTGGGGATGTATTTGGTTGATTACAACTTTCTCAAATCTTATTATACAACACCTAAACATCTCTCAAATCTTATTTTTGTAATTTTTTATTCATCATGGCTACAAATACTGACCCTAACATGGCTAAATCTTCCGTCGGGGGAAACTTTGAAGTCGTGAGAGTGATCGAACACACTCGAAACAAAGATATTTGGGATCACTAAAATTTTTGTGAGATGTCAAATGGCTCGAGGAGGGCGCGTTGTAAACTTTGTTTAAAGTTTTTTGCACCGGAAGGAAACACAACGTTGAAGAACCATTTTACAAAATCATGCAAGGCAGTTTGCTCAAGATCAGATCCAAGTTAATCGAATCTTACACCGCAAGGTGGTGTTTTTGTTTACAACAACGAAAAATTACGAGAAGCGTGTACAAAGTTCGTGATTACAAAAGCATTGTCGTTCGACAACTTTGATGATGAAGATTTCACGGCAACAATTCAACAACTAATGCAACCACATTATACTCAAGTAAGTCTTACTACCCTTAGAAGAGATGCTATAAAAATGTGGCATACGACGAGGGAAAAAATGATTTTAGGATTCCAATAACACCGTTATGGTG